TGAGGGCAATAAAGTAAGACTCTGTCTCTAAAAACAAACAAACAAACAAAAAATCCCTTTCTACTTATTTCTCATTGTCTAATAAATACTGAAAGTCAGTCACCTTGCATAGCTGTGTGGGTGGTTGGGGACTGTGAAACGTTAACAGAGGAAAAATCACACTGAGTCACTTGGGCAAAATGAGGTTGGTATTTGGAGCCACTGACCCCTACTCCCTCCAAATTTTCCTTCCTTTCCTTTCCTTCTGCTTTCATTGAAAATAGAAATTAATGGGTTTTGTCATAATCTTTGCTAATAGGAACTTCAGGTAGGGTAAAACAAAAAAGCTCAATGCATTACTACTATATTAGGAAGGGTACTTTCAACTTCTGGGCATTGTTTTCCTTTTGAGTTACTTAAAGCCTTATTTTTTTTTGAGACAGAGAGTCTCTGGAGACTAAGGCAAGAGAATCGCCTAAGCCCAAGAGTTTGAGATTACTGTGAGCTATGATGCCATGGCACTCTACTGAGGGTGACATAGTGAGACTCTGTCTCCAAAAAAAAAAAAATTCCTAGTGTTGGCATTTATAGGATATCTCTTTGTGCCTTGAAGCAATAATATTAGGACTCGTCTGCTAAACCCAGTCAGCATAGAGTTACTAGCTCTGACTCTAAAGGTGGAACTAGCAGCTCTTCCACTGTTAATATGGCCTTGGACAATTCCTTAATTTCCCTATGCATCAGTTTCTTTTTCTTTCTTTATACAGTGGGGATAACCACAGTATTCTACCTCTTAAGGTTGTTGTGAGTGTCCAGTTAAATAACTCAGGTAAAGCACTTAATGCAGTTCTGGGGCACAGTAATAAGATAACTTGCCATAAAGTCAACTTTTCCATAGCAGATAGTTCAAGTTAGTAGGACTTGAAGACTATTTTGAAGAATGAAATGAGATAGTAGTAATAATAATAAAGATTTTAGCAGTTGTTCACTACATATCAGGTATCATCAATAGTACTAGGTGAGTGATGTGCATGCGTCATTTAATCCTTACCGCAGCCCTAGGAAAAGGATGCTATTGTTGCTGTCTCTAAGCATAGGGAACTGAGATGTAGAGAGATTTAAGTTCCCAACCTTGACCACAGCTACCTGACTGGCAAGTAGTAGAGCCAAGTCTAGAACCCAGGTCTGTGTAGGTCCAGAGCCTTCCCAGTGTTCCGCCTGGCTATAGACTGTAATGCCACTGTCAAAACTAGATGTGATACAGTTTTTCTCAAGTCACACCACTAAAAAGTCCTCACATTACTTTTACAAAGATAAAAGCCTGCTGTGTAAGATTATAAATCAAAGGCAAGAAATTCAAGCCTCTCTAAAAGCTCGCTCTTTTCACTTAGAAAGAATATAATGGCTTGGCGCCTGTGGCTCAAGTGGCTAAGGCACCAGCCACATACACCTGAGCTGGCGGGTTTGAATCCCGCCTGGGCCCGCCAAACAATGAAGGGTGCAACAAAAAATAGCTGGACAGGTGGTGCCTGTGGCTCAAAGGAATAGGGCACCGGCCCCATGTGCCGGAGATGGTGGGTTCAAACCCGGTCCTGGCCAAAAACTGCAAAAAACGCCCCCCAAAACAAAAAATAGCCGGGCATTGTGGCAGGTGCCTATAGTCCCAGCTACTGGGGAGGTGGAAGTGGGAGAATTGCTTGAGCCCAGGAGTTGGAGGTTGCTGTGAATGTCATGGCACTTTACCCAGGGTGACAGCTTGAGGCTCTGTCTCAAAAAAAAAAGGAAAGAAAAAGAAAAGAAAGAATATAATATGGAATGAACTCCCCTACTCCTCATACCTAGCAGTCAGAATTAACAACCCTTCAATTTTTTTTTTTTTTGAGACAGAGTCTTACTATGTCACCCTCTGTAGAGTGCGATGGCATGATAGCTCACAGCAACCTCAAACTCTTGGGCTTAAGTGATTCTCTTGCCTCAACCTCCCAAGTAGCTGGAACTACAAGTGCCTGCCACAATGCCCAACTATTTTTTTTTGTTGCAGTTCTTGTTGTTTAGCAGTCCCCAGCCTGGTTCAAACCCTCCAGCTCCGGTGCATGTAACCGGCACCTTAACCACTGAGCTATGGGGTGCCAAACCAACCCTTCAATTTTTATTTTTTATTTTATTTTATTTATTTATTTATTTTTGAGACAGGAGCCTCAAGCTGTCCCCCTGGGTAGAGTGCCGTGGCATCACAGCTCACAGCAACCTCCCAACTCCTGGTCTCAAGTGAGTCTCCTGCCTTAGCCTCCCGAGTATCTGGGACCACAGGTGCCCGCCACAACGCCTGGCTATTTTTTGGTTGCAGCCATCATTGTTGTTTGGCAGCCCAGGCTGGATTTGAACCCGCCACCTTAGGTGTATGTGGCTGGCGCCTTAGCCACTTGAGCCACAGGCGCCGAGCCTCAATTTTTATTTAATCTATACCTCCACCAAGTCCCCTTCCTCTACTTGGTCATTATTATATGCCTCAGTATTTGTATTGCTATAACAAATTATTATAGTTTGGGTGGCTGAAACAACAGACATTTATTTCTTACAGTTCCGGAGGCTGGAAAGTCCAAGATCAAGGTGCCAGCAGATCTGGTGTCTGGAAAGGGCCTACTTCATGATTTGCTGGTGGCCATCTTCTTGTTGTATCCTCACATGGCGGAAGAAGAGAGAAAGGAAGCAAGCTCTTTTAAGTCTCTCCTTATAAAAGCATTAATCCCATCATGAGGTTCTATTCTAATGACCTTCCAAAGGCCCCACCTCCTAATACCATCCCACTGGGGCTTAGGGTTTCAATATATGAATTTTGGAGTATACAAACATGCAACTGATAACATCATATAATTCTCTTTTGTTAAAGAAAATTTGCATACACTCAAGTACAAATAGCTTAACTGTACAATTTTGGCAAATAGATATTCCCATGTAATCAAGATATAGAACATTTCTGTTTCTATGAAAGTTCTGTCATGTTCCTTTTCAGCCATTTCCTACCCCATTACAGACAACCACTATTATGGTTTTTTCCTCTATCCTTTTCTAGAAATTCATATTATATTAAATGAAATCGCACATATATATATATATTTTTTTTTAGAGACAGAGTCTCACTTTATTGCCCTTGGTAGAGTGCCGTAGCGTCACAGCTCACAGCAACTGCCAACTCCTGGGCTTAGGTGATTCTCCTGCCTCAGCCTCTCGAGTAGCTGGGAACACAGGCATCTGCCGTAATGCCTGGCTATTTTTTTGTTGCAGTTTGGCCGGGGCTGGGTTTGAACCCACCACTCTCCATATATGGGGCCAGTGCCCTACTCACTGAGCCACAGGCACTGCCCTT